TCCATTACTGCTGCTCAGACTGTCCTGTTTTTGAATTAGATGAAACAGTGCACTGGATGGAGAGGCTCTAATTAGGCATATTTGGAAGAGAATATACATATATTTTGTACTCTTTCCTACATCATCCTTGCCAGTTCTGATTTTGCAGGTTTCAGAAGGTTAGGAGGCATTTATAAAGCCTCTGTTGAGTTATAGAAGTTGAATTCTATAGCAGAAGCAAGAAAGAGAAGGTTCTAATCACATAGAATCTAAAAAAAAAAAAAAAAAAAAAGGTTTTAAAACCAAAAAAATCAAAAAAAAAAAAAAAAAAAAAAAAAAAAAAAGGAAAACACCACCCTCTTTATTCTTTAATTCCTGTTTACAAACCTGCCAGAGAGAAGAGGAAGGTCTTTCAATCCCTGTGACTTGAGATGTGGACTAGAGATGGGAAGTCTAATGCTATTTTGGGAAGTAGTTTACTTGCTGCAGCTGCATTAAACTCTTTATGGTGTAGTCACTGCTTCTCCCTGCCCCAAATAAGACCAGGCATGATTTTTCATTTCTGCAGATGGTTGTGTCAGTCAGAAAACTGCTGGTTAGATTTTCTCCCTTGCTGTTTTTTACGGTAATCCTATTGATCAAAGATCTTCATTATTGAGAAGGTAGAAGTATAACCCCTTTTCCCCAAATAAAAGAACAAAAAAAGGGGGGAGGGGAGAAAAGAAAGAAAAACAATGTGTGAAACAGAGGTCACTGTGAAAATTTTGCCTTTTTTCCATTTAATTTTCTATATATTTTCAGTTAAAATTGTACAATTTTATATTCTGCTTTTTCCCTCTTCCTTATAAAAATATTGCTTTCTAAATCATTACTCTTTGTAAATATATTTTAACTTTTATTGTTTCTCTGCTTATAAAATTTTCATGCCAAATTTAAAAGCATGTAATATAGAATATAACAGACATTTATAGCCCTAAGCCTGCCACCAGAAATAGACAAAATAACTATCAACGATGTAAGTATGGTTTTTTTTTTTGTCTTTTGTCTTTTTTTCCATGTCCGGCAACGGATCGCAACCCTCAGTGTTGCCCCCGTACCGGACCAGGGACCGGCAACGGGATTGCAAACCTCGGTGTTGCTCCCGCACCTCGCTCAGCCAGTGAGCGGGAGCCGGTCTGTATGTGGGATCCGAACCCTCGGGCGGGAGCGCTGCCGCGCTTCCCAAGCGGCGCACTTATCCAGTGCGCCACCGGGCCGGCCCTAAGTATGGTTTTTAATGGCTGTGTAATATTCTGTCATAACATAGCAAATGCCTGTCTGCCTTAGCATAGGGAAATTACAGCCTCTTTATATATTTGTGTCCCTATATATTCTCTATATTACATCCTTGCCACAATTGAGTTGTTTTAATCTGTTTTTAATTTGTTAGGTTAAAACAAATGTTTTTATAATATAGATAAATTCATTATTATCTTAATTTTCCTCTCTGATTACCTAATGAGATTAACCATTTTATCATATTTCCTTACCATTTTGTTTTTGGTGGCTGCCAGTACAGAAATCTGAACCCTTGACCTTGGTGTTATAACACCACGCTTGAACCAAGTGAGCTAACCAGCCAGCCCCTATTTCTTTACCTTTTGTATTTTACCTTTTGTGAACTATCTGTTCATGTCCTTCAAAATCTTTTTATTATTTTTTTCCTCGACAATTTGTAAAGGCTATGAATGCTTCATCATATTTGTCCAGATACTAATTTTTCAATTTATTTTTGTCTTAAAATTTTGTGTTATGTTTCTGCATACAAGTTTTCTTATGTAATCCAATCTGCTATATTCTGTAATTTACTCTTTTGATTGTTAAGCTTAGATAACTGTATTAGTTTCCTAGGGCTGCTGTAGCAAAATACCAAAAACTGGGTGTGTAACAAGAACAGAGAATTATTGTCTCACACGTCTGGAAGCTGGAAGTCCAAGATCATGGTGGTGGAAGGGCCCCACTGTCTCTGATATCTCTAGGAAAGAATCCTGCCTTTTCTCCTCTAGCTTCTGGTGTTTGCTGGCAATCCCTGGTTTGTAGATGTGACACTCTAGCCCACGTGGCCGTCTTCTCCCTGCGTGTCTTCATGTCATCTCTCTGTGCATGTCTGTGTCAAAATTTCCTCTTTTTATAAGGTCATCAGTTATACTGGATTAGGGTCCAGCCAATTGACCACATTTGAACTTGACTACCTTTATAAAGACTCTATTTCCAAATAAAGTCACACTCTGGAGTACTGGGGTTAAGACTTAAACATATCGTTTTGGGGGGACACAGAACAAAACTCATCCCCATAAAGAGACATTTACAGGGATGTATAGATAAATATTAACCAACATTTTCTTTTCTCTTTCTCTCTTTCTCTAAATTAAATTAATTGTTACATTTAGTTCAACCTACTTGTAATTTATGTTTGTATTTGTATACTGAAGTTCTATTGCTGTAACATGGTATATAACACTGAAATTACAGAATATATGAAATTTGTGTTTCTTTTACGTGAATCAATGGCTGGACATCATAATCTTGGGTTAAAGTATTCAAAATAATTTTTAAAATTTGCCTCAGGCTTTTTCTGAATATAGGTCTCCTAAAATGGATTTTGTTTGGGACTTGGGTAGCTATTTGAATTGCAGAGTTGGAGTTTTCTTTTTCTTTCTTTCTTTTTTTTTTTTTTTTTAAAGATCTGTATTTTCTTTTTCCCCAGATTACATATTTGACTATTAATTCCGTTTCTATTATCCTGGTTTCTTCCTCAGGATCTCCTTTTCCCATAGGAATAGTACAGTGCTTGTCAATAGGAGGTATTCAAGTGTTTGTCATGTAAATGAATGAATATATTAATGAATAAAAATGGAATGATCGGTCAGATGATTGAAGGGATAACTAGCAGGAAGCTGGAAATGTGATTATGAAATATTAGAAAGAAATAAAGGCTAGCATTGTAGATTGGTAATTTTTCCTCATTGGGTTGGGAATTATAGCAGTGGATGAGATCACCTGGGATGAGAGTATATATTAGAGAGAGAAGAAGGCAGAACACAGACCTGAGGCCAAGGAGCCACCTAAGGATGGAAATAGGACAGGAAGAGAGCAAAGCAAATCCTTCTGGCTTAGTGTGTTTATTGGTTTTCTTCTTCTCTTCACTATTAGGGTTACAGAGATGTACTTCCAGCTGAAAGAAATGAATGAAAAAGTGTCTTTTATAAAGGACTCCTTACTGTCTTTGGACAGCCAGGTGGGACACCTGCAGGACCTCTCTGCTCTGACTGTGGATACCCTAAAAGTTCTTTCTGCTGTGGACACCTTGCAAGACGATGAGGCTCTCCTGGCCAACAGAAAGCGTTCTGCTTGCATAAAACTTCCTCACAGCTGGAACAATGTCATCTGTGCACAGGTTCTAGGCAGCATGGAGATCTCTGGGGAGAAGAAGTACCAGTATTACAGCATGCCTTCTTCTTTGCTGCAGAGCCTGGCTAGAGTCCAGCATCCCCCAAGTGTGCAGAGGGGGGCGCTTCTTGAGATTACAGACAGTCAGAGACAGGCTTCAAACCTAAGAGATAAAGGTCAAGAATCGGTAAATAGTATAGTTGCTTCTGGTGTGTCCCCTAACAGAAAAGCACCCTCAAAGACTGGCCAATTTCTCCTGGTCCCTTCTCATCTAAAACAAGTTCCTTTTCCTGAAGAAGCTGTCTTGCCTCTGTCCAGACCATCTGTAGGAACAGGTACAGATGTGCTGGCAATGGAACAGGTTCCTCAGAGTGAGTTCTCTGTCCATCTGTCTTGGCAGATCCCCATTGTTTCAGACCAGGCATCCGTGGCTGAACCCAAGGAGCAATACGGGCCAATGGCTGAGATACCAGACAAAAAAGACAATGTGGAGCAAGTTCTACACACTTGGGGTTGCACACCTGCACCCATGACAGTGACCTCCCTTCCTTCCCAAGCCAAGAGCATGCAGACTGGAGGTGGATATGTGAACTGGGCATTTTCAGAAGGCGATGAAACTGATGTATGTAGCATCAAGAAAAAATGGCGGACCTGCTTGCCCTCTACTTGTAACAGTGACTCCACGCAGAGTGAACAATGCCGGACGCAGATTCAGGGCAGATCCCTGTCTGATAACTCAACAAGTTTGACCCAGAGTAGTGAGTGCTCAGAGCTGGGACCGTGGCATTGGCCAAACATGCCTTTTTGGATCAATCCTCTCCGGAGAAAGAGGTCCTTCAGTAGGAGTCATAGTTTTAGATTCCACAAGGAGGAGAAATTGATGAAGATCTATAAGATTAAAAGTAAGGAGGAAACATTTTTTTTTCTGAGCCAGTATTAAGTTGTCTGCATTGCTACCAGTTCTTAAAAAACCTGTGGTTCTCGACTGCATTCGCATTCTGCCCAGTCTCTCAGCTCTTTCTGTAAAACAAAACGGTTCCCCATCCCGTCTTATACTTGCTCACGTAAACCATTTGCCTCGCAGATCTTTCAAGATCCTCAGAGATAGCAGAGTCAGCATGGGACAAAGCAAAAATGCTAACCAAGGACAGGAGATCGTCAAAGAAAAACAAGAAAAAACAAGAACTTCAGGTGCCGGTAAGTCTATTGTATATTCTGTCTTTGGCCTATCTTAGCTTAGTTTCTCTTTAGTGTCAAGTGCCATGTATACCAAATAGCATTGTTCTTGGAGGACTGAAGATACAAATTTGAGTCATCAGAGTGGATATGTCATAATTTATTTATCTGCTCACACGGTCGAGGACATTTGGGTCATTTTCTGTTTGGGGCTATTCCAAACAAAGGTGATATGAATATTAGTGACAAGTCTTTTTGTGGACATAGTTTTTTAATGTCTCTGGCAAATACTTAGGAGTAGAATGTCAGAGTCCTATGGCAAGTGTGTCTTTAATTTCTGAAGAAACTTACAAACCGTTTTCCAAAGTGATTGTAGCATTTTACATGCCCGCCAGTAGTTTATGAGCATGTCAGCTGTTCTACAACCTTGTAAATCTGTCTTTTTTTTTTTTTTGGCGGCTGGACAATATGGGGATCCCAACCTTGGTGTTATGACACCATGCTCTAACCGACTGAGAACCAGCCGACTCTTCAGTCTTTTTAATTTTAGCCACATTAGTGGAAGTGTAGTGGTGTTTCGTGGTTGGTTTTATTGGCCTTTCCATAGTGACTAATGCTGCTAGGCATCTTTCAGTGTGTTTATTTGCCATATGTGTATCTTTTCTGGTGACATGTCTGCTCAAATCTTCTGCCCCTTTTAAATATTGGGTTGTCTTATTATAAAGTTGAAAGAGTTTTTTTTAAAAAATGTTTTCTAGGTTTAAGTTCTTCGTTGGATGTATGTTTTTGTAAATAGTTTCTCTCGGTGGCTTGCCTTTTCATTTCCATAAATGTTCTTTGAAATACATACATTTTTATTTTAATGAAGTTGAATATTTGATTTTTTCTTTTATAGTTTATGCTTTTTGTATCATAGTTAAGAAATTTTTGCCAAACCTAAGAGTACTAAGATTTTCTCTTGTGTTTTCTTCTAAAAGCTTTACAGTTTTAGTGCCTACGTTTAGGTCTAGAACCCATTTTTAGGTAATTTTTGTATGTGATGACAGGTAATGATTGAGCTTCTTTCTTCTCTCCCCATCCCCACTCTCTTTCTTGAATACGGATGTCAAATTTTTCTACCACTTTTTTTTTTGTAAAAAAGATTATCTTTGTCCTATTGAGTTGCCTTGACGCCTTTGTCAAAATTTAATTGACCACATAGATATACAATATGTGTGGATCTATTTTTGTTTGTCTACCTTTATGTCAAACAGAACTTGAATACTGCAACTTTATAATAAGCCTTGGGATTATGGACTGAAGGTCTAAATTTTGTCTTCTTTATGAAAGTTGTTGGGCTATTTTATGTTCTTTGCATTTCCATATACATTTAGAATCAGCTTGTCTATCTTTACGGAGAAACCTGCTGGGATTGTGAATGAAATTGCTATAAATCTATACATCAATTTGGGGAAAATTGACCTCTTAACAGTAATGAGTCTTCTGATCCATGAACATGATTTATCTCTCTACCTATTTAGGTCTTCTTCAGTTTTTCTCAGTAATGTTTTGTGGTTTTCAGTGTACAAGTCATGCATAACTTTTGTTAAACGTGTCCATTAGTATTTTATATTTTTAAATTTTATTATAACTACAATTATTTAAAAAACTTTAATTTCTAATTATTTGCAGTATATAGAAATATATATATATATATATACATACTTATATTGGCCTTGTATTCTATGACCTTGCTAAACTCACATATTTGAGTAGGATTTTTTACAGGTTCTTTAGAATTTGCTATATAAATGATTATGTCCTCTACAAATAAAGATAGTTTTCCTTCTTCTTTTTCACTCTGGATGTTTTTTATTTCTTTTTCTTGCTTGATTACACTGACTAGAACCTTTATTACAATATTGAATAGAAAGGGTGTAAGCAGATATTATTTCCTTTTTTTGCTCTTGGGGGAAAGCAATTATTCTTTTACCTTTAAGTATGATGTTAGCTGTAGGTTTTTATATAAATGCCCTTTATCAGGCCGAAAAACTTCCCTTGTATTCCCAGTTTTCTGGGAATTTTTATTATGTATGGGTTTTGGCATTCACCAAATGCTTTTTCTGTATCTATTTAGATGATCAGATGTTTTTCCTTTTGATTGTGTTAATATAGTTTTCTGGGAATTTTTATTATGTATGAGTTTTGGCATTCGCCAAATGCTTTTTCTGTATCTATTTAGATGATCAGATGTTTTTCCTTTTGATTGTGTTAATATGATGATTTACATGATTAATTTTACAATGTTAGAATTAACGTTTAAAGTGTTAAATCAACCTTACTGGGATGAACCTTGCTTGGTCATGGTATATTATCTTTTTTATATATTGTATTCATTGTGTTAAAATTTTCATAACTTCTTTCGATATCTGTGTTCTTGAGCGGCACAAGCAGATTGCGAGGCAACAGCCACTTTTATTATAATGTCTTTGGTTTTGCTATTAGGGTGATGCTGGGTTTATTGACTGAGTTAGGAAGCGTTTTTTCCTCTTCAGTTTTCTGGGTGCGTTTGTAAAGAATTGATATTATTTCAACCCTAAATGTTTGGTAGAATTAAACAATGAAACCATCTTTGTGGGAAAGTTTTTAGCTATAGATTCAATTTCTATAATAGATATAGGTCTTTTCAGGTTATTTAATTCTTCTTGAGTGAGCTGTTTGTATATTTCAAAGAATTTTTCCATTTCATTTAAATTGTAGAGTTTATCGGCATAAAGTTTTTCATAATATTTTCTTATTATTCTCTTATTGTCTGTGGGATCTCTATGACATCACTTCTTTAATTCCTAACATTTTAAATTTGTGTTTTCTCTCTTTGTTTTATGATCAGTACAGCTACAGGCTTACTGTTTTATTGATCTCAGAGAAACAGCTCTTAGTTTTATTAATTATTCTCTCATTCCTATGTCATTGATTTCTGCTCTTTATTATTTTCTTTGTTTTGTTTACTTTGCTTTTCTCTTTCTAGTTAAGGCAGAAACTTTGGTCATTGATTTGAGACTTTCTTCTTTTATAGCGCTAGGCATTTGGTGTTATAAAATTTCTTCTAAGTACTGTTTTAGCTTATCACACAAATTCTAATATGTTGTTTTTATTTTCATTCAGTGAGTCTTTTTATTTATTGTTAGGAAGTCTTAGATCTAAATTAGCAATTCTGCAAGAATTCCCCTTTCATGGTCTTAATGCCCTGCTTCCTTTTTCTATTTTACATTTATTTTTCCATCTGGATGCATTTTTAAAAATACCTCCACCTTTTTTTTACGAATGAGAAGCAGAAGCAAAGAGATAATTTTTGAGACAATTATGTAAAATCATCGTTTACAGGAGAGATTTAGCTCAATAAGGAATGTTATTCTTTTAGGAAAAATGCCATAAGTTGCTGGAATTCCATAAGATATATACTTAAGTAAGTTTATTTCGGAATAGTTCAAATGACCAGAGTTCAACTAGGAATTGCACCTGAGCACAAGTACTCAGGCTTGCCTTTGTTTGTTGCTTTGTAGTTGACCCATTTATCCAATGGGTTCTGTCCCTGGGAAGTACATAAGGCAGCCATATTGTTAGCTATGTGTTATTTTAGTGATGAGGAAAATGGGGCTCAGAGACATTAAGTGATTTACCCAAGTTCACAGAGCTTCTAAGTGACAGAGCTAGAATTCCAACACAAGTCCTTTGGATCCAAATCTTATGTTTTTTCTTGCCCTAAACAGGGTTCTCCAAACATGGTCTTCTATCAGCAGCATGTGCATCACCTGGAAACATATTAGAGATTCAAATTCTCCCTCCCCCAGCCCCCCAGCCCTACTGCATCAGAGATCCTGGGGGTGCAACCCAGTGATCTGTGGTTTAACCCAGCCCCTGGCCCTGAGTGATTCTGATGCACACTCAAGTTTGAGAACCTCTGCTCCTCACCCTGTTTATTTTATTTATTAGTTTGTTTTTCCCTTTTTTCCTCACCCTGGTTCCTAATCATGACTGCAAAGAGAAATCACATGTATGCCTGTCCTGCCAGCCCGTGATGGGAGTTGTCAGAACTTCCTGGGTGATTCTTTTTCTTGGAATAGGATTATTATTTTTTATTTATTTACTTATTTTGTTTTTAATTTACACATAATAATTATATGTAATTATGGGGTACAGTATGATATTTTGATACATGTATACATTATATAATGATTGAAGCTGGGTATTTAGCATATACATCATCTCATACATTTATCATTTCTTTGTGGTGAGAACATTCAGATCCTCTCTTTTAGCTATTTTGAGATATACAGTACAATATTGTTAACCATAGTTGTCCTGTGCAATAGAACATCAGAACTTATTCCTCCTATCGGGCTGTAACTTTGTGAAATAGGATTATTAATGTGGAATTAGCCACATTAAAAATATTCCCATAAGATCAATTGATTAATCTCTCTGTCTTTCGATAATCTCTTTCAATATTACATTGTATCACATATGGTATATTGTAGAAAAGCAACACATGTCACTTGTGGGTGATGGCACTACAAACGATTTCATTTTTAAAAATAGTCTGTCTTTTCTAAAATATTTCAAAGATAGGTTCAAAATGCTACAGGAAATAAATCCCTCTGATCCCACATTTCCTTCTTCTCTCCAAGGCACATCTTGATGAGAGGTGTCACCAGTGTTGCCAAATCTCAAGATGGTTCCTTGTATTCTTTTATTTTTTAAATTTATTTTATTTATTGAATTAAAATTGATTACACATATTTTGGTGGTTTAACATTGAGATAAGTTGATCAAATCAATATTACTAGTATGTATATTGTTACTAGTATGTATATTGTTACAAATCATACTTATTCTTTATGCCCCTTGTCCAATCTCTCCCCATTCCCTCCTCCTCCCCCCTCTAATTACCCTAGATTTCTTTTCTCCTTCTGAAAGAATAATGGTTACTCTGTGTGATCAGGTCCCCCAATATTATCATAGAGCAGATGCTTCTTCTGTCACTCTGAAAAGGACTTTGTGGAGAGAGACATCCTCTTCTTTTCTTTATCTCTGCTGATGACTCTCCTTGTGTCAGTGCACTCCAGTGGCTGGTAGACCATCTGTGTGGTGGTTGTGGTGTCTAGCTGCTTTGACAACAGCCGTGGTTATTGTGGTGGCTGTGGTGGGCCACCCACATGGAAGCGATGTTTTTGGCATGCTCCTTGGCACTGGTGGTGTGCCTGGTTGTGGGGTGTATCTGGTCCCTGGCTCCATACCTCAGGTCCCCAGGCAGATCCCAAGGTGCTGTTGCGGCATGCCTGGTTGTGGGATGGGGGTCCACTCCCCAGCTCCATGCCTCTGGTCACTGGGCAGGTCCCGAGGTGCTGGCATGGTGTGTCTGGCTGTGGGAGGGGATCCAGTCCCCTTCTCCATGCCCCGGGTCACTGGGTGGGCCCCGAGGCACTGGCATGGTGTGCCTGGATGTGGAAGTGGGGTCTGGTCCCCGGCTCCAAACTTCCGGTTCCCATGCAGGCGCCAAGGTGCTGGTGGTGTGCCTGGGCTGGAACTATGTTTTTGTCCTTTGCTTACTTCTAAAATGGGGAACTTCCTGTGGGGACCAGCACTTGAGCTCTGTGGTTGAGCTAAATTGCTGCTTTACTGCTGCTTCCCTAGGGAAGGCTTTTTGTGCAGCTCAGGTTTTAATGATTAGACCTTATAGGTACTTCCAGCTCTCCAGAGACCTGGTGGATCTGGGTTGTGTAGAAACTCTGATCTGGGCCTGAGTTTTTTCATCAAACTGCACCCCATGCAATTTTGCATTCCCAACCAGTCTCCTCTGAGTGGTCCTATGCTGATTGTGGGGGCGGATTGGCTGTCCTTGCTCTGTCCCAGTGTTCTCCCAGTGGGCCCGTCTCCCCACTACCTGTTCTCCAAACACTTCCCATGGGATGGGCCCTGTGCCAGTCCCTTGTGATGAGTCACCAGCCTTTGAATGGCACCCCTTTTTCAGCTGTTCTGGCTTCTTGCTCCTGTGTGAGTCCACGGGAACCCTATTAGTGGTCTTGCTGTCCTGGGGTCCGCCAAGGCCCTTTTCTCCCCTGTAGCCTCCAAGTAACTCCATCTGAAGGGCACAGCTGAGGCTTTTGCCAGCTCCTGCTCCATGCGCTCAGCAGCTCCAGCCTTAAAGTGGCCACAGCCCGAAATGCTCAGAGCAGTTTTTTCTTACTCTCATCATGGTTTCTCTCACCTTCATGAACTCCATAGGTCTCTCTTCCTCTTCCCCTGAGCTCCAGTGGCCCCAGCTTGGCCGATGTTACATTTTTATATTTGTAAATTGGTTGATTTGTGGGAGAGAGTGACGCTGGGAACTGTCTATTCTGCAGTCTTGACCAGAACTCCCAGGTGATTCTAATATGCAGCTGATGTTAACAACTGCTGGTTTTCACCATGGTGCCTCTCTATTAATGGGACTCAAAATGTTTCCAGATTAATGTCACTGTGTTCCAACATATGTCTTTCTGTCCAGGTCATAACAGTCAATGGCTGCACTCAAAGTGACCAATTGAATTCAGATACAGGAGAAAACAACACCTCAGAAAAAGAGGACTGCAGCAAGAACTGGCTCACAGTGTCCAAAAACAGTCAGATGAGTATGTAGCTGTCTACAGTCTTGCATCCCACAGACCCTGCTAGAGTTTCCTCGGGGTATGGTCTTGGGACCATTTGTGGTCTTTGCTGTTCTTCCAAGTGGAGGTGAAGAAAAGAGAAGGTGGCAAAACCTTCTTAGGGAAATAGCTCTTTCCTGTTTTTAATTTTTATGAAAGGGACACAATTTTGTTTTAAAAATTAGTAATCAGGATCCAGAAAAGAATATAAGTTTCTTATATTCAAAGCTCTTGAACCTGACTCAGAGTGTTTTCTCCAGATAGTGTTCATTTATTCTAATTTATGGGGTGGGGGAGTTGTCTGATTTTACAAATTCTTAAAGTTCATGTGACACTAGTATGGACCCCTACACAGGATCAGTGGATTGGGTTATAGTTGGTTATTTACTACTGCCTATGTAGAGTGTTTATTACATGGGCAAGTATCCCTTAAGCTTAATATTACTGTTTGTACAAGTATCCCTTAAGCTTAATATTACTGTTTGTAGAGGAGAGAACACAGACCAACTAGCTAAGACTGAAGACTAAGCTGGGAATGGAATGTGAAATAAGCCTGGACAGGTAGGATGAGGGCAGGTTATGAACAGAAATGAGAGCAATGGTCAGAACTCTGAACTTCTTGCAGTAGATAAGAGACTTTACCAATTTTTGAACAGAAAGGACTGTTTTATTTAGGAGTCATAAAGATTTAAAATTATTTAAAATATTAATTTTAAGGGACAGATAGACATTGTATTGAAATTTATGCTATCATGTTTCTTTATCATGCTTGCTCTTACTGTCAGTGGTTCTCAACCAAGTGTGATTTTGCACCACCCTCCCCCACCACGCTGCCTTCCCCAGGGGACATTTGGCAACGTCTGGAGACATTCTTGGTTATCACAGCTAAGGGGGTAGAGGACAGGGCTGGTGCTAAACTTCCTGTAATGCATGGGGCAGCCCCTATGACAAGGACTTATCCAGCTGCAAATGTCAATGCTAAGGTGGAGAAACCCTGTTCTATGTTTAAAAAAATACTTAATTGTCTGTTTAATCACTGAGACCCAAGTGGACTCTACGCTGAAAGAGATTGGAAATTAGATTATTCAGAACCTCCTCAATTTACAGATATGGCTTGAG